CCTGAGGGGCTGGTATGGGGGTGATGGCTCTCTCAGTGCCTTTGACAGCCTGGAGGATGAGAAGCGTCACTCACCAGTCAATCCACTGATGGTATTACAGCAGGGCTGCTCTTCAGAGAGCATTTTGCAGTGGAAGTGGGCTGCTGGAAGCCTCGTGGGGTGCAGCAGAGGCACAGCCTGGCAGGAGAAGGCTAAGAGGGAACCTCAATGCTGTCCACCACTGCCTGCAGCAGGGGAAACCAGGCTCAAGGCTCTCCTTGGGGGTGCAGAGTGACAGGACAGGAGGCAACAGACCCAGGATGGGACACTGGGAATTCCTGTCACTTATCAGAGAGCCTGCCCTGCAAGGGTGGACAAATGTTGGAACAGACCCAGAGATACCCAAAACTCAGGGAGCAAGGCTCTGATCCACACTGGGGCTGGGGTGGGATTGGTGGGTGTTTTGGGACAGAACACCCCCAGAGCCCCAGCCTACACAAAGGTGTGATCCCTGGCTGAAACCAGCACTGCAAAATGCCTGAGATGAGCAGTGCCCTGGCCACCCCAAGCTCTGACCAGACAGGGAATTGTGAGTCTGCACAAAATAGGGACACCCAGGGATGACCTACTCCCTGCTCTGCTCCAGCTGTGGCATTCCCTGTATTGCTGGCTTCCAAGCATGTCCCTCACTACCAAAATACTCCTCCTCACGTGGATTATTTTGCAAAGGCTTGTTGTCAGCCACATTTTCCACTTCTGTGACTTTTGTCTCTCTCCATCACCTCTACACAGCTAGCGAGAGCAACTCGACTGCTTCACATGAATGGTGCATTTTCATTCTTCATCCCAGATTGCTAATTAATATTTTAAATTAAACTCGGACAGTGACGAGTCAATGCAGGATGTCTTTGCTCAGTCCTACTCCCCCATGACAATGCTCAGTGCAGTTTTCTGCTTGCTTGGAGCCCATTCTCTGAGTGGAGCCCATCTTGGCGATGAGGTGTGGGGAGCAGGGTTTGTGCCCCTCAGGACCTTCAGGGGCAGCTGGAAGGTGGCTGGATTCAGGAAAATGAACATATCCATGTGGAGCAGAGCAGCATGCACCGTGCACAGTTTGCTTCCTGCTGCTCCTTGAATGCTGCAGCAGAAAACAAACAACATGAAAGGCTGTGTGCCCACACAAAGGAAGAAAAGCATACAGATAATGACTCAACAAGAAAATATTAAAGGTTCAAAAGCTGGGTTAGTGCACTAACTCTTGACATAAAATGCTACTTCTTGTTTCTCATATTTATTTTCTCCATGCCACAAGTACTGCACTGGTGAGACCCTTTTCTGCCAATAAAACTCTTTCCTGATAGACTCTGTTTCTCTACAAATCTTTGAAATGTATTTGATTAAGTGCCCCAGGAGCTATGTGCCATGCCTCAAGCACTTCTCTAAAGCTCTTGACAAAGCAACCAGGGATCAGCAGAAATAATCTCTCAGGTCAAGCTCCATCAAAGCCCAAATGCATCAAAGCCCACCTGTGCTCCATTAGGCAGTTCACCGAGGGTGAGAACTGGGCAGGAATTTCCCATTACAAGACAAGAGAAAGCAGGCACTTTAGATGAGATATTGGGAAGGAACTGTTTCCTGGAAAGGTGGGCAGGGCTGGCACAGGGTGCCCAGAGCAGCTGGGGCTGCCCCTGGATCCCTGGCAGTGCCCAAGTCTCCAGTTTTCTCTGGAAACACCAAAGCCAGAAGGAAGCAGACACCATGAGGAATGAGTTACAGCTAATATTTATATCCAGAATTACTTTACTAATGAGATTCACTGGAATGCAATTTAAGAGCTGCATGCTCATCTCTCTCCTGCAATGCCTCTTGCAGTCTGCCTTCAGCCTAAGGTTTAATTAAAAGACTAAAGACTTAAACAGTCACTTCTTTTTTCTACAAAAATGCCTGTGGGAAACACCAAAATGCACTGCATATGGCACAGAACTCCTACCAAGCCCAGTCTCCCAAGAGGGCACAGTCACCTACTGCCCAGCCTAGTGCTGATGACTGATACCACATTTTTAATTCACTCTGAATTATTACACAAAAACATTTGGCTCCTAATGAGAAAAAATCAGTTACATTACAGTCATAAGTCTATCAGTAAACAAGGGTAATGAAAACATATTTTTATCTATCCCACTGTTCAGGGAACTTAGGTGGACCCAGCAGAGAAGAAAAATAAATTATGCCAGTTATTTTTTAGCCATTTTATGTCTATTCTGCTTTGAATATGCTGTAAGTTGGCAGTGTACACCTTTAAGAGGTATCTGTCTTAGCTCTCATTCTCTCATACCAGTTTTATGCTCTGAACCAGCATTTGGGCTTTGAAATCACTGACAATCTACCTGGTACTTGGCCATAACTGCATGAAATACTGGCATTTTTAAAAATTATTTGTATTTATTTTATTTTTCTGTAGAAATGAGGAATTTATCCTTTTCTTGACCAAGAGGAATATAAGAAGTTAGTAAGACTGGAAAGAATTGAGCACTCTCCCTTGCTGATCCCTCTGCCAAGGAACCTGTACCTCTGCTGCAGTTTCAGCCTGTTTTTTCTCCTTTTCTCTGTGAAGTGCAGCAGTTTTTCAAAGGACAGCCAATCCTGCAGGAAAGGCCATTGTATCCAAACCCATTCCTCCTTTGTCCTTTCATACCTTCAATCCTAGAAATTACAACTTTGTGATCTGAAGACGCAAGCTTAAGTGAAGTGCTGGGCAAATCCAGCTTAAATTTATTAATCTCCTCACTGTGGGTTTCTGGAAAAAACAAAATTACATTCTCCTGTGAGAAAACAATGTTTTCTGCTTAACAGGCAGCCACCAAAGCTAAAACCAGGGAAAATTCTTACGCTGTCCTGACAGCGCACGTCTAACACTCCCACTTGAGCCACATTTCTCAGACTGTCATTTTGACACAAGAATAACTAAAACAGCAGCTCTGCAGTGGAAAACATCCGAATAAAATAACTGACCACACACCTTAACCTTCAGAGGCTTCAGTTCATCCAGCCACTTAAGCATTTCCCTGAACATAAATCAATAAGTACCTGAGGTGACCCAGAAACAAAAGTTGATGAAGCAACTTATTCAAGCTGCTGTTAAATATCCTGAGGGAGTCCCAGCTGTGAAAGACAGGACAGCACATTTAGAACTTCATCAAAGCAGAGAGAAAGCAAGTTGCAGGAGCAAAAGGGACCTCACGCTGTGGCTGAGCTGTAACTACATCAGCGAAGAAAGTGTTTTTAATTTTAAAAAGACATACTGGTCCCTTCTGGCTTTATTTCCTGGCTTTCAAACGGCGTTCATTAGTTATTTTTTTATCTGCAATCAGCGCTAATTGCTCTTAAAGGCGTGCTCGTCCTGCCAGGCAGCGGTGCAGTGCAGAAAACTCTAGGAGCACACCTCCCTCTAGTGGGCTCAAAACCCCGGAAAATCGGCAAAACCCGCGAATTCCTCTAAGGTGTTCGGGATAACTACTAAAAAAAGTGTAATATTCTTTATATATATTTCATATAGCATATGTATAACGCGTATCTTTATAATACCAACCAGGGAGCGTCATGGAGATCGAGTGAAACGCTAAAAACACAAGATGCAAACACAAAAACACTAAAAACACAGGCAGCCTGACTTGGGGCAAAGGGGAAGCATTACTTGGCTCACAAACATTAATTTCAGCTGCGGAGTGTCCTCCTCCGAGAGCACAGCCAGGGATTCACCCGTCACCCCTCATTTTATTACTATTACATTTTTAAAAGTTTAATAGTAATAAAACGGTTATAAAAATAGTAATATAATTGGAATAGTAAAGTTTGAACATTTGAGATTAGGAAAATATGAGAGAATAAATACAAAGAGATAGGGACGTCCGGGTACCTTTTTCTGGGCAACACAAACCCAAAAAAGAACCCCATTAACAGAGGATTAACCCTTAAAAACAATTGCCTGTTACATATTCATACCTTTCATACATGATGCATAAATTCCATTCAAACACAGGATTCTGTCTGGTCACTGTCAGCTTCTTAATCCTGATGCCGTCTTCATGTCTGAATAAGGTGGGAAGAAGTTAGTTTTCTATTGATAAGGGAGCCATAAATTCCCTTTCTCTGAAAGATTTAGGTGTCCTGTGGCTGCTATCTGGTGCCAGTCCTTTCTTAAACAAATGTCTTGCACAGCATCGTTTCTATTTTAACATTATGTTATAACCTGAAACTATGTTTAATACACTACTTAGGAAAATTAATATAGCACAACTTTCTAGCATAATACAATATGTAATACTTGCGAAAAGCCAATCATAAAATACATATTTTTCACAAACCCCAAACCCTGTGCTGGGCTGGTACCCCAAAGCTGTGCTGGGCTGGGACCCCAAAGCTGGGCTGGGCTGGGACCCCAAAGCTGGGCTGGGCTGGGAGCCCAAAGCTGCGCTGGCCGAGCCCAGAGCCCAGAGCCCTGTGCTGGGCCCAGCCCCGCGGGGGCAGCAGGGCAGGGGGGATTCTGCCCCTCTCCCCTCAGCCAGAGCCCACCTGCAGAGCTGCCCCAGCCCTGGGCCAGCCCAGCAAGGAGCTGGAGCTGCTGCAGCCAGGCCGGAGGAGGCTCCAGGCTGGGCAGAGCACGGAGCAGCTCTGCTGGCAGCAAAGGCTGCCACAGCTGCCATTGCTCAGCCGGGCAGGAGAAGCTTTGGGCTGAGCTCAGGGCGGCCTTGCAGGGCCTGCAGGGGCTGCAGGGAACATGGACACAGACAATTGCCAAGGGCTGCAGGGACAGCACCCAGGGAATGGCTGCCAGGGCCAGAGGGCAGCAATGGCTGGGATCTTGGCAATGGCAATTGTTCCCTGGCAGGGTGGGCAGGGCTGGCACAGGGTGCCCAGAGCAGCCGGGGCAGTGGAAGCTGTCCCGGCATGGCGCGCTCCCCACAGCCCCTCACGCACCGCCTGCCCGGCTCCCGCTCCTCCTCTTCCTCCTCCTCTTCCCGTCCGTCATCACCGTGCGCGGTCCAGCCGTGCCGGAGCCTTTCCCAGAGCCTTTCCCGAGGCCTTTGCCGGGCCATGACCCGCTGGGCACGGCGGATCGCCCCGGCCGGGGCGCGGGCGCTGCCCGCCACCCCCTGGGAGCAGCTGGCGCCGGGCGGGGAAACGGAGCCGCCGCGGGCAGCCAGGAGCCGGAGGAGGAAAAAGGAGTACGAGAACCAGGACGTGAACGGGTTCGCGGCACACCGCGGGGCCGAGGAGGAGGAGGAGGAGGCGCGGAGGAAGGACAGGCGGCGGGAGAGCAGGAGGCTGAGGAGGCAGGAGAGGAAGAAGAACGCCATGGTGAGTGCTGCCCTCAGAGGCGGCAGGCGGGGAGAAACCTTTCCCTTTCTGCTCAGCGTTGGGGATTGTGTCAGCGGGGCATGAACAGTGCGGACAATTACACCCTTTGTAGTAAAATGTGTCGGGTTAAGGCTCGAGGGATGCCCGTGACAGCGTGTCCAAAGCAATCTAATCAAAGCAATACAATTACAATCTCTTAATTCCTAGTAAAGCTCGCACAGTCTTCACTCTGTGGGGAAGAGACAATTCAGCTGATCCCACAGATTACGATGGAGTCTTCCCAAACTTCTCCTCATTCCTAACCCACTCTTATGCTGTTTAGATTACTTTTGGGTGGAAATTCAGTGATTTTAGTCACACATCTTACGGGTGGTCTCGCCTTGGGAGTGGGCACTCAGGCCAGCACTGAGCTAACCCTGGGCTGGGACGTGGTCAGTCCAAGGACAGGGATTTCACCACAGGTGCTGATCCCGCAGAACATCCTCCTTTATCTCCCTTGCCTTTCAGCTGCTGTGTGGCTGCAAGGTGCCCCCAGGTTCCTTCCTCTGAAAGGGTTTGGGCAGAGCTGTGGGGTCTGTGCCCTGCTTCACCCTGCTGTTAGTCCTGCCTGGATTGTGCTCTGTGTGTGTGGGGCTCCATACAGGGAGTACCCACTGTATTTTTCCCTGAAATTTCCCCTTTTAACCCCCATTTTCTCACTAGGTTGTTAAAAGAGAGCCCCATGTGGGAGGCACAGGTCTCTCTCTCCATGTGCTGCAGTGGGGCTCAGCAAGAGCTCAGCCCTCCCTTGCCACAGGCACAGCATGTTTCAGGTGAAAGATGTGAAGTTTGGGACAAAAGGTGGCTTCCAGCTCCAGTTGTAGCCTTTAGCCTGGCTCTGCCTTCTGAGGAGTCCTCAGCTCCTCTTGGTTCCTGGGTGAAGCTAACCCAGGTAATTTCAGTGTGTGATTCATCAGTGTGTTGCTGGTTAAAGGAGGAAAGTGCCCAAGTTTTGTGGTTTGATGGCACAGCATAAATTCTCTTCCTGGCTGCTTTTTCCTGGGGACAAAATGGTGTTTACTCCTCAGGGCCCTCTGAGGCTGGGATTTCCAGGTTTTGAGTGCCACTCACAGGACTCATCACTGGATTTTCCTCTTCCCAGGTGTGTTTTCACTGCAGAGAACCTGGCCACGGCGTGGCTGATTGCCCTGCAGTGCTGGAGAGCCAAGACATGGGGACGGGGATTTGCTACCGCTGCGGATCCACGGAGCACGACCTCAGCAAATGCAGAGCCAAGGTGGATCCAGCTGCTGGTGGGTCTCAGGAGTTTGTGCTCCTGTGGAGTGCTTGGGCCTGAATTGTCTGACTGCTGACCCTGAAGCTTTGTGTGTTAGAAATTTAACTTTTACAGTGTTAACAGGGAGCCTGACAGTAATTAATATCATGAAGTGATTAAAATATTGTCTTTGCACTGTCTTGGGTCTGTGACTTCACCAAGGTTTGGATGTGGACCATAAACCCTGTGGAATTTTGCAGGGCCATTTCCATATGCCAAGTGTTTCATCTGTGGTGAGATGGGACATCTGTCAAGGTCGTGTCCAGATAACCCCAAGGGGCTCTATGCTGAAGGTGAGTGTACTGAATCACTAAATTTAGTAGAATTAAATTTCTGTGTCCTTCTTACCTAACACAGAACAAAGTAACACTGCAGGAGAATGAGAATGTGGCTAAAAGGAATTCCTGCAAATCTCTCAGTAAAGCAGAGTAATTCTGGGAAATTCATTGCCAAATAAATTACCTGGGGATTTCTGTTTTAAGTGTAGGTTTAGTATGAAATGACAGGATGGGGTGCAAAGTATGGGACTCTGCTTGTGCCTCAGCAGCAGGACATGCACCAAGGAGCAAAATCCTGTGTGACAGAAGGCAGAGTGTGTTTACATGCACCCGTGGTGGTTGCAGGAACATTCTCACACAGTAGCTTAAAATTCTGGGAGGTGGCAAAACACAGGCTCTCACTAAAGGGAGAGCATCTTCAGTCTGAGTAACTTTAGGGGGAAATGAGGTCTTACCTTTGAAAGCTTCACTCCTCCGTTGGCTCCAACAGCCAGGATTCTGCCTCTTGCTGTTTCCCAGCACAAAGGTGGGGTCTTGGCAAACTCCAGAGGGTGATCTTGCAGCACAGCTGAGGTGGGACAAAAATCACCTTGCTTTCAAGTGTTTGTGTTGTGGAATTGTGTATTGTGCACAATTTCACATCTGAGCTGCTGCCTCTCAGGAGCCCCTGTGAATTTTATAAGTTACTTCGAGTATGTATTTCAGCAGAATTCAGCCTGTTTTTCAAAAAGAGAGCTTCCAGCAAATCAGAAATACCCAGTAAGCAGTGGCTGGAATGTGTGGTGTGTGGTGCTGTACAGCACAGTGTGATCCCTCACAGGCACAGAGGAAGGGTGGTTTTTTAGGTGTTTTTTGTGTATTTTGTGATGTTCTTTTCCCCTCAGACGAGTAACACCTTTCTGTGTGAACAGGTGGGGGCTGCAAGCTTTGTGGCTCTGTGGAGCACTTCAAAAAAGACTGCCCAGAGAAGCAGAATGCAGGTGAGCTGCTGGGGTGTGGGTGGCTGTGGGTCCAGCAGGGCTCAGCTGCTGCTCTGTGGCCAGGGAAGAGGCTGTGGGAAGAGAGCTTGGAAGCAGCAGAGGTGACCTTTTGTTGGGACACTCGGGGAGGGTGTGGAGGAGGCAGTGAGTTGCAGTGCAAAACTAAGATAATTATTTTTTAAAAACAGAAAGGTCATCTTGTATGTATCTGAAGGCCGCATGAAATAATCTGTATTTTTTTTGGCTAGTAATTGTGCTGCTGTTCCAGTCTGGCAGCTGTTCAGCAGAACTGGCTGCAGCTTTTTGCAGATTTCAGTGTGCAGTGGTGGGGCTGAACCCGGTGCAGGGTTGAGGTGTGTGCAGGGAGGTGTGCCAGGCACCCAGGACAGGGACAAGGAGGATCTGTCCAGCTGGATTCACTGCTTCCTTGCATCTTCCTCTGCTGTCCATGTGGGTGGAAAAATTAAATTAGATACCCCAAACCACCACTGTCCTACAGAAAGCAAAGCATCAAAAAAGGGTTTGAAGAATGATCCTCTTACTGGAGCGGTGACACAATTGTGTATTTTTTTACTTTGTTTCTGTGACATTTAGTTCATGTACCACCTAATATTAAGCCACTTTGGTGAAATTTATGTAAGAAATATTTGTGGCATTCTCTATATCTGATCCTACCTTTATGATATTTTTAGGTCTCACACCATATGTAGGATTCTAGGTGTGTGCTGCTTTGCCAGTTTAGGATGGGTCAGATTCAGTCTGAATTGGTATGACAGAAGTTTATGACACCAAAAGACTCTGAAATTGCCCCAAACTCACCTGCAAGCAGCCAGGCTGTGCCCAGTTGAGTTTTAGAAGTCTGTAACAAGATGTTTTTCTCATTTTTTTCTGGTAAGTTTAGCATCTATAATGAGGACTGTACGTGCTGCTTGTTTTACTAAGGGACTTCTTTCCAAACTAGCACCACTGGTTAAAAACAGTTTATGGTAGTTTTGGGGTCCCCAGGATGAAGGAGGTATGATTGAATCTGGCTCCATATTCTTAGAAGGCTAACTTATTATATTATGATATTATTGAAGAATATGATACTAAAACTATACTAAAGATAGAGAAAGGTTTCAGACAGAAGGCCAGAAAAAATTATAATAAAAATTCATGACAGACCAGAGTCCCGACACGTCTGGACTGGGATTGGTCAGCAAGTAAAAACAATTTCACGTGCTGGGTAAACAATCTCCAGATCACATTCCAAGGCAGCACAACAGGGAGAAGCTGAAGCTTCCCAGCTTCTCAGGGGAAAAGAGCCTGGCAGAGGGATTTCTCATGAGGATATCTTGGTGACCTGTCCCTGCAGAGCAGGTGACAGTCGGGCGCTGGACCCCCGGCCTGAGCGCGGACCACGAGGACGTCGCGGCCGCGCCGGCGCCGCAGGGAGCACGGCCCAAGGCACCCAAGGTTGTCACTTTCTGAGAGCTCCTGCCTCTCAAGGAGTTCTGAGCTGCTGCACTGGAGTGCTGATGACAGAGAGCGGATCCAGAAAATCCAGCCAGCTGCAGAGGAACTGTTGGTTTTCTGTCTCCCCTCGTTTTCCCAGTTTGCCTCCCGAACTTGCCTGGCTGGGAACAACAGGAGCACAGCAAGTGCCTGTTTTATTAAAGGATTTGTGGGTGTTTGCTAAAGGTTCTTGTCGGATTCTGGTTTGGTTTTTGCCTTTTCCTTTCAGGAACAATGAACTTATTCCTCCGTATGTTACAGCTTGTGCAGTCTCATGGTGGGGTTACAGATCAGCCCTGTGGGCTGCCGAGCTTGGGGTGCAGTTCCTGATGGTTGTTGGTGTTATTATCAACCATTAACCTGGTTGGTGATGCACACTGGGTCATTTCAGTGTGTTCACTGACAGAATCCAGCCCTTCCTCTGGAACCTCTGGTGAAACACACCCCTAAGGAATGTGAGAGGCATTCTTAGTTTATTTACTTTTTTTTTCAAAGAAAATGCTCAAAAATCTGCAGTGTTTACACACCTTGGTGAGCTGGGAGTAACCTGTTTTTTTGTAAAAAAAAAAAAACAACTAGTGGATATTAAACAGAAAAATTAAGCAACCAACTCCAAACAGAGTTCTTGCCTCCACCAGTACTACTGGAGAAGTGCACCCTGACAGTTTTCTTGCAGCCAAAGAAAAAATATGGGGAATTAAATTATGTGGAGATAATTTATATTTGTACAGATAATCATTTTAAATAAAACGTTGCTAAAGAATGCAGTGGTTGGAGGTCATATTTTAGATTTCTTAGTGCTGCTGTGGAGACTGAGATTGGAGGAGTGTGTTCAGTTTGTATTAATCAGAGCACACTTTTAAATGGGGAAGAGGAGTGGATGTGAATGAAACCAAGGATTAATTACGGAGTTTTAATTAACTATTGGATAACTCAAAGCTGTCAGTTTAACGTGGACATTTTGGCAACAGACATTTTTCCCAGGTTAAGAAGCATTTCCTTTCTATTCCATGAATCAAGTACATTGTTTAAAAAGCGTCTTTTTAGATGATTTCTCAGCTCCTTAGCTTTGTAGTGTGTTCTTGCAGCCCTGGGACTGTGGACTCAGCCTGTCCTGGTGCAGCTCCCGAGGAGGGGCTGGCCTCCAGCTCCTGCAGGGCAATCTGAGCTCCAGCTGCTGGACAAAACCACTGGCTAGGTGTACCCACTGCTGTTTCACAGAGCGATGCGTGCCTGCAGGAAGCCGTTTGGAAAGGTGCTGCTTGTAAAGGTGTAAATCCATCAATTTACAGGGCTGTGCAGCATCTGGGCTGGCTGTGTGCAGAGCCAACATTAGGGGTCTCTCTTCACCAGCGCTGGGATGCCGGGCTACCTGTGCATCCCGGGGCTGCTCTGCCAGCACCTGCACGCCGCAGGGCTCGGGGACAGAGCTGCTGGAGCTGTGTCTCTCCCTGCATTCCTGGTGAAGCACAGCCCGGTGGGGTGGCCCAGCAGGCAGAGCTGTGCCCAAACGGAGCCACAGGCCAGGGGACACCGGCGAGGTGACACCCGCAGGGCTCCCCTGGGTGCCTCCCTGCCACGCTTGTCCCGAGCAAAGCGCTGGTGGGCTCTGTAAACGCCTGCAGCAGGCTCGGTCTGGCTGCGGGGCCAGCTGAAGGCGTGTGCAGTGCCAGCCCGCAGAGCTGTCACCCCGGCGGTGCTGGCACTGCAGTGACACGGAGTGGCGGTGCTGCAGCCCAGCCCCAGATCCAAACGCTGGTGACACGCTGCTCTGAGCTCAAACACAGCAGCAAGCAGGGCAGGCACAGCTCAGCACGGCCCGGGAGCACCCAGGAGTCCTGCTCTGTGTGTGTCCAGCCTGGCACAGGCTGCAGCTCAGGGCTCTCCTGCAGAACCCACCGGCACTGCAGGGCAGCCTGCTGCACCCCCAAACACTGAAATCTGTGGTGAGTCTAACCTCAGAAACAATAATTTATTGGGAGTCACAGATAAAGGGACAAGTACTAAAGTGCAGACATTAGCAAACATTAATTTACACGGGCTGTAATCAGTTTATAAATAATGACCTGCACAGCCAGGTCAGGGCACTGGCAAAGCTACTTGGTAGCACTGGTTTCTGCAGATTACAAGGGATGGTGTTTTCAAACAGCCTGGATGCCACTCTGTTTAATGTAACATTAAAATAGTGAGATAGTCTTATGAACTGCAGCTCTACTGAGCCAAGTTCTGCCTCAATTTATATAAAATTCATTAATGCAATCAAAAGCACAATCTGTTCCTTAATCTTTTTTAAATTAAAGATTGAATTTAGAGCCTAAGGCCTAAGCTTGGTTTGATAGGAAATGCTTGTACCAGGTATTTTCAGGCTGAAGCCCAATACTGACTACATGATCTGAAGCAAGTCACCTACAGGAGAATGATCAACACCCTTGCAGGAATTTCAACCAGAACTGCTTGATAATCCTCAGATGTCCCTTCAGAAATCTGCTTTTAACTTCAGCACTTGCTGTCTTCCAGCTCCAAAAACTTTATACACTCCAAAGCAGTGTCTTCAATGGATTTTGATGAGCCAGTAAGATTTGCAGCTAAGTAAGGCATAACTCCTGATGTCACTTGATTGAAGTAACACACCTGTTTGAACAAAAGCAAATGAAACAAGAAAGCCTATGGATTGCAAGTTAGCCATTTCTTTGCAGAGCCTGGAGTACCACAGCTTTTCTGGATGTGAATAGAAGCACACGGTGCTTCTGAAACTGAAGGCAATAATTTGCAAAAAGCAGGCCTTTTTTACAGCACTCCAGTGATCTGGATGTCCTCGCTGCTCTCAGACCCTCCAGCATCTGCAGGTAAATGAACAGAGCAGTGCAGCAAGAAACACTTGTGTATAACATGTTAAATATCTGTGCTTTGTGAGCAAAGCTGTTGCCCCAAAAAAAAGGAACTGCAGCCACCAAGAGCTGCTGAAAGTTGTCAGAAATGTGTTTTCTTCAATGGAAAAGTTTTAGCCTTCCCATGGCAAAGAAGACTGGTATGGGTCCAGAGATGGGAATCAGATTGTGTGATTCCTGGCATATGAAACTTCAAGGGAGGAATTTAATTTGAACTAATTCCTTGGCCTTTGTAGGGAGTGGAAAGAGAGACACCACCAGAGACCAGTGCAATGCACATCCTCTAGAGATATATTTTAGGAGTCAGTGAATGACTCTGGAGGGACAGGGCAGCCTCCAGTGCTCAGTTCAGGGCTCATTTCTAACAGATTGGCCAAAGCTGGGCAAGCCAGACTCCATACACCCAGACTGATCTTCTTTTTTGGAGGTATTTTGCTGTTCCCCCTGCAGTCTGTCAGCTCAGGTGAGGTGACAGCCCCAGGACAGGGGGGACAGGGCAGGGGGCACAGCAGGGCTACTCACAGTGCAGGAGCTGCTGCTGCTGCTGTGGATCTGGAACCCAGCACAGAGGATTTCACTCCTGCAGAACTCCGGGCTCGGGGGCACTGCCCTGAGGGTCACGGACCTCACAGCCACGGTGTAGGGCTCCCTGCAGGGCAGGGACAAGCATCACACCCTTCCCCTTGTGGAAAACATTCACAGAAGTGACTACAGCATCTCATTTTCACAGGAGGGCAGAGGAGCTTGGGTGTTTTCAATGATCTCAGACCCTCCAGCATCTGCAGGTAAATGAACAGAGCAGTGCAGCAAGAAACACTTGTGTATAACATGTTAAATATCTGTGCTTTGTGAGCAAAGCTGTTGCCCCCAAAAAAAGGAACTGCAGCCACCAAGAGCTGCTGAAAGTTGTCAGAAATGTGTTTTCTTCAATGGAAAAGTTTTAGCCTTCCCATGGCAAAGAAGACTGGTATGGGTCCAGAGATGGGAATCAGATTGTGTGATTCCTGGCATATGAAACTTCAAGGGAGGAATTTAATTTGAACTAATTCCTTGGCCTTTGTAGGGAGTGGAAAGAGAGACACACCACCAGAGACCAGTGCAATGCACATCCTCTAGAGATATATTTTAGGAGTCAGTGAATGACTCTGGAGGGACAGGGCAGCCTCCAGTGCTCAGTTCAGGGCTCATTTCTAACAGATTGGCCAAAGCTGGGCAAGCCAGACTCCATACACCCAGACTGATCTTCTTTTTTGGAGGTATTTTGCTGTTCCCCCTGCAGTCTGTCAGCTCAGGTGAGGTGACAGCCCCAGGACAGGGGGGACAGGGCAGGGGGCACAGCAGGGCTACTCACAGTGCAGGAGCTGCTGCTGCTGCTGTGGATCTGGAACCCAGCACAGAGGATTTCACTCCTGCAGAACTCCGGGCTCGGGGGCACTGCCCTGAGGGTCACGGACCTCACAGCCACGGTGTAGGGCTCCCTGCAGGGCAGGGACAAGCATCACACCCTTCCCCTTGTGGAAAACATTCACAGAAGTGACTACAGCATCTCATTTTCACAGGAGGGCAGAGGACCTCCGCTGCTTTCAATAACCCTGGTTCAAAGCTGGGGATCTGCTGAGCCTCAGTGAGGCTTCAGCACAGACCCCAGTCCAGGAGACCTCTGTGGCAGCCAGAGGACAATTCCCCACCTTTTCTTTTTAATTTACTCTGCTCTCCCACAGTTACTGCATCAGGGAATAACCCTTACCCAGAGGCTTCACAGTGTGGCCACAGTAAAGGTATCCAAACTCATTCAATCCCCCCATGGAGGGGGAAAGCAAGCACAGTAAAGAATACTGCCTTTTAGTGCTAACTTGAAGAATTACTGAATGTGGAAAAAGAAACAGAATACAGAAGGGTGAGAGACACCAAAAGTTCCATTTACCCGTGTTTCACTATGCAAGAACAAAAGGAGATCTAATAAAAAATAATAAACTTTAAAAAGTAGGGTATGTTAAACTGAGCAAGGGACTTGACAGAATGTACCAATACAATAAATGTGTGAGATTTCAAGAACTTCCTTGACTGAATAAAAACTCTGTAATTACAGGGAATGTGAGTACACAGTCAATTCAAACAAACAGAAACCAAACTTGCAGCCAGATGCTTCAGCCCACTGACAGGCTCTCCTGGACATGATTTCTTTCCCCATTTGCCCATTTGAAATTCTGGCCTCCTGGCAGACCACTCCCAGAGAGTCACTATCAAAGAATCAGTACTGCACTATGCTAAAAATTGGTGATGATCTGGATTCATTTCATTGCACCTTCACATTGCAAAGCAAATCTGGTTGTACAAACTCAGAATCTCACACCTTAGAAAGTAAAATGCCATCTTTGTCACCCGGTGGCAGATCAAGGTGACAGTGGCCCCAAAGTGCCCAGAGTGAAAATCAGAGCCATACTCACTGTGGCCTGCTGGGCTGCCTTTGGGACACCAGAATCACAAAGTCTCTGGGCTGGTGGCCTGTTGTGGGGGCAGAGGTAACGTGGTAGATCTTCTCCTCCTCACTCACAGCCTGCAGCACCTCACACGTCCTGTGAAAACATTCAGCGCACAGCTCAGGCCCTGGTGTGGGCAACAGCAGCTCCTCCAACAAATTCCTTGCAAATGGGCTCCATCCTGCCCCTGAACATTTCATTTCC